CAACACTCGCAGATAAAAGAGAACAAATAATCATACTGAATCGATGCTTCCTGATAGAAAAAAAAATTAATTATCTTGGTACAGCAAGTGAGGTCACGGTTAGCGCTGCAATTTATCATTGTTTTTCTTAGAAGCTTTGAAGAACTGATTAATATGTTGAAAACGAAACCTGCATGTATTTTTTGTTGGGAGTCAAGTGCAATACAGATTACTCCCGGTTAAGATTAAACAAGGGTTTTAGACGGCTATTATCGGTCGGTTGAATAGAACTACTTCACTCAGGGGGCAGTCTCCCTCAGGTCGCTGGGTAGAAGAAATCTCCACGTAATCAATGACGGACATATGCTCACTGCCTGCAAAACAAGTCTTGCATTGACCGCGAACTAACTGATTGATATAATTATAAGACAACAAGTCACAGATGAGCTGTAGAGTTTCCATTATCACAGAAGGCGACTACATGTGACAGAGGTAGAACTAATCGGCGGTCAAAACCTACCAGTCTAACGGGAAACCGAGAGACAATCCAACCTGAACACCAGGAAGCTGAATAAAAAAAAATACCTAAATATGTGGTCGATGAAAACCCAAATCAATCGGTGCAAGGAGCTCAATGAGAGTTAGGTAACACACGAGAAAAGCGCATCGAAGGAGCGAAAAAGTATTCATACGAAAAACTCTACAAGACAATACGATACTATGCCTCGAAGATCAAACTTCTACGGTTACTTACAAGAGCGACGGTTCCTATAAGATAACAGCACTTTGGTTTATTAACGAAACTACAGTTATGATAATGTTCAAGTTTTGTGAACATATTGTTAAAACAGTATGGCGCTTGTAGTGTAAACAAAGTTACCTCCTATTTGTTTTAAACTATGTATACATCGGAATTGCAACGTTATGGTCTGGGTTCGAACCTGAGTATACATAGACTTTGTTTTGTGCTTAGAGCCAGCCGTCTGAGAGAATGCTTGACGGCGATAGCGGACGTAAAACTCGAAACACAGAGCTCCAATGTCGTATAATGCAACAAAAATTGAGTCCTTCACTTCAACAACCCCCTATGATTCACGCGACGACATTGGACCCGTTCTCAAATTATTAGCAGTAATAAGATTAAATACTAATTGTCCGTAAACCTCATGCAAAGAAATGGGGCGCAATTTGCCACAACGATGCGACCCATTCAGGTTTTCGAGGATGGCAAGTTTTTTTTTCTTTGTTAATTACAAAAGAGAAGAACGTCAATATATTTTAAAGGGAAACCTAGTAACAATTTACTTTCAAGTCGTAATTCAAGAGAGCCAATTGAAGTAGCAAAAATGGCTTCGTCCATATCATTGAACAAAGCACTTCTCTGAGCAGAGCGATTAGAGGTAACACGGGCGACGCAGCTCACAAAGTCCGAACCTTTTTCACCCAAAATTGGACCATCTGAACGGTGCTTTTACCTAGTGTCGTTTGTAACAGTTGAAAATATTTTTTAGCCTGAACATTTGAAGATCTCAATGTTGCAGCGGCCGTAGTAGCGCCTTTCTAACTTACGAACACATGCGAAAGAGCTAACACCTGATCGCATTTAAACCCTGTCTCGCAACTTTAAGGCCTTCATCCCCAACAAAGCTCGTAAGGTGTCTCTCCACCTAGACAAATAAATTATTACTTATTTGGCGAATACTTTATTATACACAATCTCCAATCATTGTAAGCAATCAAGCTATTTACCATCATTAAGGTTTTACAGTAGTATAACGTGTAGTAGGTCCCATTAAAACGTCTAATGATCTTCCCCTTTTTCTGTACTACTACAGCTTCAAGGAAGATTTATTCCTAATTCCTATGCGGAAGTTCTCATTATCCCAGCATATGAGCTGCTGATAAGTCATCCGGATCAATGGCAGCAGCCTAGTGTATTTATAAAGACGTATTGATCATTTCAACGGGGGTGGTGTTTAGATACTTGTAATGCTAAAAAATTGCCAACTCATCTAGATGTCCAGTTTCTCGAGTTCAGAGTGGAAAAGATGTTAAATCTTATCAAAGTTAAATCATTTAGGTGTTTTTGTGCAGCTGATTGCTATAGGATCAGATTCGCCACATTTTCTATAAGACACTTTGCCCCCTTCGAAAAAAGATTATGTGGTTCAGCCTATAGCATTTCAAACGGGAAACTAGAGCTCAGACGCACAGAATCGCTTTAGACATGTTATGCCACAAATATTTCACTCGAATACTGTTTCTGAAGCGCCAGGCAAGAAGTGATCAGGAAATGATCGGGGTCTAAGATACTGACCGAGTTATGCGGCAGGAAGTCAACTGAAAGATAGCGACCAGAGGAATAAAAGTCTAGGCAAGGTCTTGTATTATTGACTCGAAAATTTAACGACAAATGACCTTCAAACCTTTGAGAGAAAGTTACTTCGCACACAACACTGAAGGTATATGGCTGATTGGATTATTATTCGCTGGCTAGAGCTAGCGCCTAAAATAGTTGAAAGCATACTGCATTGGCAAAAGGAAGTGGCGGAAACTTATCGTTCACCAAATAGGAGACCGAGTTCGGCGCAATAAAATTGTTAGGTATTTGGGAATGAGGCTTGACCAAAATCTGACTGGAACTTCACAATGTAAGCAGTTACGAAGGTAGCTATGACAGCACAAAGCACTAGAAGGCTGATGTTAGAATTCGTGTAATAGAAAGGGAAGACTATTCGCTTCGGTAACAGACTCGATAGCTTTCGACCGATGCTCCTATCTGAGGGGAAAAAATGTAACCGATTACTGAACTGAGAAAGGCAAATGGAGAGCTCGTACTCCGAAAATGTAGACCATACAAAAACTCTTATCACTGCCGTTATCGTATGAAGCGGGGCGACGCCGTAGGACGTTGCAGTCAACCAACGGGATGCTCTCATATGTCTCAAGATCATAGGTTTATATTAGACAATATCAGAAACATTGTTGTCAGAATATTGCAACAGAACCAATCAAGCATAACAAGGATCATTATCTGAGGTAGGAATTTGATAGCGGAAATCAAAGAGCGTTACTAGAGGAACTTCGGCGGGTTAACCTACCATGTTTTGCAAGCCCTTACGGATAGTAAATTCTTCCAAGAGCATCTACAGAGGATTGCATATAGGCATTATGATACTATCGAGTAAAACCGTCTAAAAGACACATTGCCATATTGTTTGAATTCTTCACACAGCAAATGTACCTATCGTTAAAAAGAAGCTCAGTCAAATCACATCAGTATTTAGATTTTGAATTCTATTTTATAGTTAGTGTCCTTATTATACCCAGAATTAAAATAAACCTACGGGTAACCTAAAATACTGAACACTTTTTCAGAGAAACATACGTGCACGAATGAGGGAAGCGATAATATACACAGATTTTAAAGTTCGTAGACGTGCCTATTCTTAAAGTAAGTTTAATTTGTCCAAAGAGGTTTACAAAGCTTATCTTAGCTTTGGGGGTTTGTTGGAAAGGTTGAATTACTCGCGACGCAATCCAGGTTCTCTTTTGTGCTTCTTATAATCAAAGGGCCTGCGGAAAGCCCTTATATGAAGAGTCCTCCTTGACTCCTGATTAACAATGAAGTGGCCCACTTGCGCGAAGGTTTGTTAGCTCGGGGCGATGCCAAGAGCTACGTAGGAAAGATGCTGACTCTGTTTGACTTAAAACTGGAATATTCTTCACAGACAAGATTCAAGCTTCCAATAAGATCTTGAACCCCGGCCCAAGTCTCACTGGCTGTCTCAGCACAATGGATATTAGTGGTGAGCGTTCGCAAGCTGGAAGATAACTACCAGTCAATTTACGATCTCTGAAAGAAGAACGTCACGGCAAAGCTGAATAAATTTACAGACAAATGTTTGACATATTAATTTGCCTATTTAATCCAATAAAACCTGATCTAGATGCTCCAGGTACCGTTGTGAGATATAACTTAGAAAAAATTAAATTATGTTACGAACGGAAGATGTAAAGTGACGCAGATACACCAATACGCTAGCCTCGCCGCTGTGTTAATCTTGTAAATTTTTCCAATTTAAAATAAAAAATTATCACTTGCAAAGAGCGTATCTTGGCCGGAGCCGCTGGCACAAAGAAAAATCTGCGTCATTCGAATTTCTTTTGCTAAAAAGTACCTCGAACCTATTGAAACTCTTTGAACTTAGTTATTCTTTTCATGGTGAGCTTTAATTAAACGTTAGCCTTTTAGTATCTGAGTTTATCATACGACGTTCGCCACAATAATTTTTAGCAACGTTGTTATTTACTTCTGTTTAATTGTTGGATGATAATTCCCCGTGTTTGTTTATAAAATCCGTATTCGTCTCTGGTATGGCATACAATGTCCTTTCGACACGCCTGTATCTAAACAAATGTCTTTAAGTTACGTCTAGTTACCCCTTAGTTCCTACAAAATTAAGTACGTCCAAGTCCGGGTTCGAGTTTAGACTACCAGGTAATATTAAAACATTTGTTTATTTCCGTTTCTTGCGTAAACCATAGAAAAAATAAGCTTGCGTCTGTGTGATATCTGTTTGGAGCTCACATTGAAGTATGTTTGTTATTCACGACAGGGACTGATACGATATGCCATGTATTACTTTGTACATGTAAAAACGCTCTAATTATGTACAATGATCCCTTTGAAAATAAAAAAAAAAAACACCAAAGTCCTCACCGAGGTATTCACCGGGGCAAAAATTCTATGCCACCAGTTCGCCTAAGAAATAGGTTCACATTCCCACCAAGTCAACCAAAAGGCAATCTTGTCAATAATTATTCGCAGAAAGCTAAAGGCCAGTTTGTCAAACAGAATTGCAACTAGCTAATACGAAGTGTTCAGTCTTGCGGTATTATACAGAATATCATAAATGGGAAATGGAAACACATGGGTACATTCATACTTCTTTCCAGGTAATTGGGTTATTTTGTTCTACAAATCACTTACTACATAAAGTCAAAGTAGTAAACCATACCTGTATATCACAGAAGTAATGGACACAACGAGCAGATCCTTGGTCCTGTTGAATCATTGTCTCAGTTAACAACGAATTCTTTCTTCCCTCGAGTCAGCCGGTCAGCGCGTGGGATAGTTTGCGGCGGTACCAGGGCGTCACTCGATTTTGACATTTGCAGCTCTAACACTACTGCCATTATCACATCCGGTTTCACCCCATCGTTCCGTACTTGTACCCCCTTTAGTGGGCAGGCTTCCGTTTATTTCTGCGTTAGAACGGCTCTCAGTAACAAACCACTCTCAGTAGTCCTCACAGTCGCAGCAACTGCGACGCTAGGGGGTTTCAGCAGTAGGCCCTACTATAATATTAACACAGGAAGAGACCATTAGTCACGTAGAGATCCTATCGTGTTCATTCTCTCCATGCAATTGACCTTTGTATGGATAGCGCGCTCTGACAGGAAGAAAGGAGTCCGAAGTGGTCTATCTGTGTGATGGCGTCTTCTGATTCACTTGTCGTCACCCCTCGACTGGGGGGTTAGTCCAACGCTGATTTTCGCTGGCAATAGGTGCAAAGTAAAAGGGGCCGGAGTAGCAACTTTCCTGTTTGCCATTGTAATACTGCGACGTTACGCACACTTAGTAAGAGAGTCATCCAGCCACAAACATACACACCCATCTAAAGCTGCGATTCATTGCAATTCCATTGGGACTCGACGAACTCTAGTGACAACGGACTTCTTAGCAAACGGAAGCAGGTCCTCAGCGTGTGTCTTCCGTCGTACATATATGGGCAAACCACAGATCACAGGCGCCCACACCGAATCACACGGAATCGGCAGAAAGAAAGGATGGCCCCCTGATAAGCTGCTGCAGAGAAGCTTGTCGGCAGCATTTGCTCCGTCAGGACTGCAAGAATTAATCATCCTAACGCACATGCGGAGTTATATAGGGCTCCTTACTTTTGCAAATCCAAACCACGGTTCACTAGAAAGTTAGAAGGGCACCGAAGAGAGAAACAGCACGAAAGCAATGAAAGCGAGGGATCGGCAAAGCTCATCGGCCCGCCCGTTTGCTTGCTTCACGTCGGCTTTTGCAAAACGAAACGAAGGGCTCTTGCCCAGCAGAACGAAGGAACAGAGTGAAAGAATGATGAGACTGCTGATGATTAGCGCGGCAACCCCAAGTAAGAGGAGAAAAAGAGGGTTAGGGAGAAGTTGAGGGCGAAATGGGACTCCCTACTCACGAAGGAGGCAAACCACTGTCAAGGGAACTAGCTGGGGTCAGTGGACCTAGCGCATAACCACCACTATCGGTAGTGGTCCCTGAAGCGGGGCCGGCGGTTACTGACGCAAGAAGGTCGTTTCAGTTTTGAGGCTCAGTAGTAACTTCCTCCTTGTCGCAGCTATCACTCACATTGCCTTGCTATGTGAGTCGGTCTTTTTTGTTGAATGCATCACGTTGCCTTTTCTACGTACTCTCACCTTAAAGCTCTCTTTATCTTTGAAGGGTTGCTGGATGAAGGCAAGGCGGAGAGGGGACAGGCAGCGGCTAAGATGAGGGCGAGAACGGGTGACAAAAGTGAGAGAGCCAGTAAAATGAAAGTCAAGAAAGTCTTGAGGGCTTTCAGAGTAAGGAGGGTTAGGATGGTCAAAGAGCTTCAGGGCTGTCGGCGGGGATACGGGGGAAATGGGTACGGCAGGCAAGGTTTGAGAATTGCTTCCGTTAGCTAGCCAGCACCGCGGAGTGCCGCGAGTGTCTGCGAGCCACGGCAAATCTGAAGAGCTAGGGCCGTGTGGAACCCAGCTATGCTTTGGGTGACACCAAAATCCTTTGCCGTCAGCGAACGGCTAGGACGGATTGGGCTCAATATTTGTCGAAAAACAAGCAACGACGTTGACGCCATGGAAAGCGTCGATTAAGTTATGGAAAATAGGAGGGACTCTAGTCGTTCCTTTCTTTCACGCCTTTGCGCAAAAACAGGAGGAACCCTCAAAACTGACTACAAACAGACAGACAGAGATAAGCACCCCAAGTAAAAGTGACAGCAGTAAGACAACATGGGGTAGCTGTTTTGCGAGACACCCGATTGCCTCTCTAGCGCTGACGGAAAATAAAGCTGATTGTAACGGTCTAGCAGATATCTTACCCGGTGTCAGAACTGACGAAACGCGCACAAATTTAAATTCTGCTCAAATGACAGCCGCAGCGTTTGACGTTCATAGAAATACGCATTCTGTTGATGAAACGAGGGGCACATAGTCAACGAAAGATGGAAAAGGTTAACGATAAAAAATCATGTTTATCTAGCTCAGAGCTCCGCTTTGGGAATGAATTTACAATGCGGACAGTCTTATGCAGTAGTTAGGTTAAAAAAACAGCAATACTCGGAATCCACTAGAGGTGCCTTTCTCTAGTAAGTGGTGTTGTAGCGTTGAGAGATACTACAGAAGAAAGTAAACCTAGATTCGATTTAAACTAGAATAATTGTTATAGTTATATTATAGTACATACAGACTTTTCCACATGTACTAGAACCATTTATGAAGGTCTCATGCGTCAGTAAAATAGATGACAAAACACGGCTCAGGTGGCCGTTCTGTAACAGATATGGCACAGCGTCTGCTTCACTAGTATGAATATTCTGTTAGATGGAGCTAATGTCTGATGTTACTTACACGTGTTAAGAAAGGACTAGAAGTGGCCTGGAGCCGATTGCTAGATGATCATTTGAAAGTTCAGATAGAACTTATAATGGAAGAATAAATTTAGATTAGTTACAAAACAAGTCATTTACTCAAACAATTACTGGGAAGCGCGTCGTCCCGAAACGCACGAACGGCCAATAAGGAACAAATTTGTTGGCGTTTATCTCACTCGCCTATTCGTTTTGTGCTTCGTCTCTCCACAGAGAGATCATCTGTGAAAAGAGATGGACAGCTTCCTTGAACGAGCGCAATTGTTTTGGTCACGCTCTGCCTTCACTGGATGAACGAATGGCTCCAGAGGAGGCATACTTTGCATGCTTCCAATGGATTTCTGAGTGGTAGAACAACGCAGTCATGGCTTATGTTTGTCTACGCACGGCAATGCCGGTTAGCGGCTGGTAATTGATCATGAACCTAGAACTTCTTTATCGAACATAGGTGCTGCTGCCGCCGCAACGCAAGAGTGAAGCACTTATGTCGCACAGCCTGTACAGTCGTACTGTGTGAAAGATAGAATAGATTTAGCTAGAAGGGTGCATCAGTGGGGCAGAGACATAATAATAATGTAAATTGTCAATGGGCAAGAAATTATCTTTTGTTGAATCTGAGTGTGTTTGGATAATTAGGTGTCAAGCACGCATTCAAACCACAAAATTGTCTAGGGAACGTTAACTGATTCAAGTAAGCCGTAATCGAAAATAGTTCCTCGCTTTCTCCCCTACAAATGTCCAAATAAAAAATTACGACCGAACTTAACATATTAACTTCGAGGCTCCTGCACAAGAACACTCTGAGCAATAGCACCTCCAGTGACGAATGACGTAGAAGCAATGTTTTTCTAAAGCGAATGCCCTACGTGCGTGCAACCGAAAAACTAACGCCCTCAACAATATCTTCTTAACGTCATCGGCCAATTTATAGAGTTTCATCAGTTACACCTTATACGACCTCTTCTTATCCTCGGTAATCTACCGTAGTTTTACAACGTACGATCTTCACTGTTATTCATCTTCGACGTTTATGTTCAATCACGTTTCAAATGATCGCAACAACAAGCTGTCAAAGTTTGTTTTTTGTAAATGACTATGTGAAAATGATGTTGAAACCGTCTAGTCGGATGACAATGTTTAAATTAGCCACAGGTAAGCTACACCATCTTCCAAACATAGAAAGGAATGGTAAACCATTAACTATATATAAGATATAATTAAATGTCACTTTTGCTGTATACGCATCGAATTCACTACTTTTGTCCATGTACTATATACCTCTAATTGTATACATAAGAGCTACATCGCTACGAGACTTTTTTTGAGCAAGAAAAAAGCTAGAAACAACGACTTCCGCAAGCAGAACTCCTCTATAGAAAGTGGCGAAATTGTTGTCATTTTATCTCCGCGGTCTTACCTCAACGAGCTGTTTAAGTTCCAGTTTTTCTTGCTCAACTCGAAGCTATTAAGCTAATGAGGTGAACTGAGCTGACCTGTCTGGACCTACCTTAGCGTATATACCTGGGCCTACCTTATACAACGTCCTGCCAAGCCGCTGAAGTAAGATTATATTACTAATTTTGGAAACTGCTAATCACTAGAACCTAAAACATTTAGCTAAAACAAACGTAATAGAAACGCTTATGTAACGCCCAAATCAATTTACAGACAGAAATACGTATCACAAGAATTGTAAACACACAGATGCGACGGAATATCCCATGTGACTATCGTTGTTTTGCTTGTACATCTGCTGCTGCCGGAAATTTTGCCGCTATTGTATCGTCCCATAACGCCATTGGTGAAGTTAAGATAGGCTCAGCGTATCTTTGTTTAATTAAGTTTGTAATTTTACATATTGTGCTACTACCGTTCAGCATCGTTTCAAACGGCCGGTTCCCATATTCCGTTCGAAACCTAGACCACCTCACATGTCCCTACTTTTGGTGGGCAAACACACGATTACCACGCCATTATGGGACAGGTTCTGTTTGCATTGGTGCTTATGAGCGTACCAGCACCAGATAGCTCGAAGTAACACCAGAACGGGTCAATACGATTTAGTGACAAAAAGAAGTCGTACTTGAAACTTAACTGTAGCTGAAAGTGAGTCCCACATTAATAACTCTGCGTGTGCTTTGAAACATATGTTCTTTAAAAAAAAAACAGATTCTTTCGACCTTGTACGATCCCGGCATTTCTTAACACGACCCGGGATCTTTTTTCAGAACCTTTAGAAGGCCCGTTATTATAATGCTATAATAAGAACGTTTTATGTTTGTATAATGTAAACAGTAGAGCTTCTAGCAAAAAACAAAAGTCCAGCTTCATATCAACTCTGTGCAACTATGACGATTTAGAAGAATATAAATCGATTCCGTCCTATCACTAGGCTACGATGAAATCTTAGCTTGTGCTTCCAACCCGATTCGCCAGCGAGTGCTAATTGCTTAGGAAGTTTTCATCTACTTTTAATATATAGTTCAATTAGTCTAGCCTTTCGACGAAGGCTGCTCGAATTTCGAAACGCTTACCGCCGCTGAAGTTTAAAATGAAACCAGAAACTCGGTGACTTCGTCGTAATCGTTTTATCTTAGCATGCCCTCGCCAAAAACTTTGGCCTCCAAAAAAAATAAAGATTTTTCTTCATTAATTTAACGCTGCAACTGTATGGGCCCGTATCAAATGGACGTATGAAGTTTACCAACCGCTACCTCAAGTTACAATGGCAACATTGCCTATTTTACTATACATTGAATAGATGTGCTAAAGCAGAAGAGGTTAACTCATGCTTTTACGATAAAGCCAATAGAACATCGTGCATCTCAAACGACTGCAAAATTACGATGTTACCATTTGGAAAATATAAAAACACAGGGTATAAAAGAAACATGCGGGGATATTATTAAAGCATGAACCGTTCATTAAGGTCCGACTGCCTACTGATATGACGTCGTTTTTCGGTTCTTCACATGTACGTGTACGCCGTTTAATGCATACTAATATATACGACTCAATCTAAATCCGAGAAAATAGTCATTAGGTCTCTATTTATGACGACGTAATTACCGTACAAATATCACTATTAGTATTATTGTATGAAAAGAAGAAGGCCAGATACGGCTTTGTCATTCGCAGAGGGAAAACATTTTCGATCTTTTTTTAATTATGACTATAGGAGAAACGTACATAGAAAGGATTTTTTTTCACTTTTGAATTTGAACTGGAAGCGACACTTGGTAATAAAGTATAAAGAAGTTCTAACTGAAATTTCATTGTGTGCCCGTTAGCTGTTCAGCGCCCCAAAGCTTCCAAGGATCGATCTGATAATGTACGCTACTAGGCCAGTTTGTTCTGTGGCCGCCATTTTGATAGGAGTTATTTGCAATATGCCGCTACGTACCCACAGTTTCCACAACATCGAAGAGGTTCGGATCATCAAAATAATTAGAGCGACCTTGTAGATGATAATGTTTGTCAGGCGCGGCGTGCGGTATATGACGGCTTGTACAATCTTGTATAGACAACACGAATTGGACTTTATATAGTGCATATTTGCCTCGAGCCGTAATTGATGCTGGTGCGTGTCGATAGTAATATGTGTCATGATAGCGCAATCGAGCTCGATTCACCAAAAGACATCACAATTAAATGGAAAGTCAGACACTGTTGGAACCTTGCCTCTGATATTCGCCAGAAAATCTGAATTTAGCTTAGAAGTAGACGAAGGTAGCTCTACGCTAGATCGGGTTGAATCAGCTAAAATTACTCCTACCTAGCTGACTCGGTGAATCGAATATTAGCCAACTAACTTACGAAGGACTTGCGCCAACAAGCATCGTAACGTGTGGAGGCCTTTTTTGCGACAGGACCGATCGAAGATGCTTGACGCCCTGTGCTCGCGTTGAAACGAGCGTATCAGAGTAACTAAATGTATGTACATACCAAAAGCTCTGTCATCTAGGTTTCCGATTCATTCTGTGGATAGACCTCTAGTGCATCTGTGGACCAGCACACACATCTAAAAGGGTCTTCAGTCAAAAAAACCTATCCAGTAATTCTTTTCGAGACGGAATACGCATACCCATCACGAGCACGGTGCTTCGAAGATCTGCTACCATCTAGAGTGTCCCAAATATTGATTCTGCTAATCATTAGCAAATGATCTGGCTCTCGCTGAAGCCATTCATTCATATTTCCCTCTAATGTATTCCTAGACCATTATTACGATATGTCAAACTGAATATTTCTAGATATTTGTAGCACTTAAATCGTCTCTGTGGTAGAACGTGCGTCTAAATGCACTTTTTACGTGAACAACGTTACGCGCTCTGAAGAAGCTGAAGATGAGTAGACTTCAATATTCGTGCAGCCATACCTGTGATCTTAATCCAGTTGGCAAATATTCAAATGCT